CGCTTTACATTTCGAAAACCCGTAAAGATTATTGATAAAAACAATAATTTATTAAATCAACATTTTCGTTTGGCGAAATCTAATACTAATACATGATTGAAAGATGCAATGGTTTATTAAACATTTATTTTCTTTTTTCTAAAATTTTTTACATGAATCAATGGACTCAACAATTTGATAGTTGGAGTTAAATATTAATTCTGGGTTTACTTTTTTAACCATAGGATTTCTTTCAGGAGATTTATGTAAGGGTGAGCAAAACTCGACTCGACTGAAAATTGATTTTTTTTTATTTTGAGTTATTCAAGTCAATTGGAATTATCAATTAGGTTTTCGAGTTCAAGTCAAGTTGAAATTTTAAATTTCAGTTACTCGAAAAATTGAAAACTTGACTAACTATTTTGACAGTTTTACGATTTAGTCTCTGATTTAATTATTCATTCAATTTTTCCTTCATTTTAAGTCCATTTTTTTACTAAATTCGAACAACATGCTCCTAAACCATCGCAAAATACATATGTAATTTCAATACTTTTTTATAATAAATTTTCTATTTTTTTAATTTAGTCTCTCAATATTTTATAATTTCTTATTTCTTCAATTCATGCTTTATTTTAAGTCTTTTTTTAACAAATTTGAACTACATGCTCATATACGACAATAGAATATCTATGTAACATCAATTCTTACTTTTTTCACTAAAATATACTCTCTTTTTATTTTGTCCCTTAACTTTGTATTTTGCTCCATTTTGTCTTTTAACTACAATTGTTTACAAATCTTTCTTCCCATAAATTCTTTGATTCCTTTATACTCTCATCAATAATTTACTCTCAAAATACTTTCTTTAAAATATAATATTATGAATATATTTTATATTTTATATAGTATTTGATATATTAAATAATGTTAAAATGTTAAAAGAATATAAAATATATAGAAACCGAAATAATTCGACTCAAATTTGTTAAACTCTACTCGACTCGAAAAAATTTCAAATTAAATTCGAGTTGTAAAATACGACTCGTCAACTCGAATAACTCAAAATTTTTTAACTCGACTTGATCGAACACTAATCCCTAACCGTATGTGCTAATGAGGCATGGGGATCATATTGAAAATAGGAACCCAGAGGAAACTTGGGCATTTATTACTTGGACCGTGGAGGTGGAAATCGAATCTTTTTTGCTTCAAATAAGTGTGCAGAATAAAAAATAGGGTAAAGTATAGTAATGGTCACTGAATTTTTTAAAGTTTTCATTTAAGTCCCCAACTTTTAAAACTTACAATACAGTCCCCAACATTTAGTCTGTTTGCATTATGGTCCCCGACGTTACACTTCCGTTAGTATGTTTGCAATATGGTCACTAAACTTTTTAGACGCTTGCATTTAGGCCCCCAACTTTTAGAACTTGCTCAATTTTATTCTAAACCCCAAATTCCTTTTCGATCTCGAATTTTCTTTTTCTCTTTCTCTTCTAATTTCCAGTGTAACTAAGTTTTGTTAGAAATGCAGAGTTGACAAATACTACTAAGATGAACTAAGTATCATTGTTGAAAGTCACCAACAAAGCTGGAATTATTTTGTATAAATGGCATATAATAATTTCTTCGTTTAGTCCTTGTGGTTAAAGATTTTCCAACAAATGATCAAATATAATGAAATCCCAAACAGAGCATTCACCTCTCAGTCTATTTTGCAACTCAAAAGGCATCATGACAGGGTCAAGTAGCTGCTCCAAATATACTACCCTGGCATGATGTCTTTCAAGTTGTGTGCATGCATAATTGTCTTCTAAAGCTATAAATCAAACAATTCAACTGTAAAATTTCCAAAGCATGTAAAAAAATAATTCGTTCACGATATATCAGTCTCATAATCAACATGAACTTATTAAAAAGAATACGAGCTCACATGACACCGAAAACCACAGGTCGAATCAATACAATTCCCAGTAAACTAGTACCAGAAGTATCTCGGATTGAGAATGGCGATTTCACTATGTCGATAATCACAACCAATTCCCTGGTTTAAAGAAAAACCAAACAAGAAGATCAAAAAAATTTAGCCTAGGACCCTATTTCACTTCTATTCGGATGAACTGAATATCTTTCATAAGGAGTACTAAACGTTTTGATTAAGAAGAATGAAAGAAAATTAGATGGTTTTGGTTCAAAACTAACACTGAATATCCAGATCATTGACATACAGTTCCAGAAACATAAAAATTTCAACAAAAACACACAATGCGAGTTGAAAATGGGATAGTGCGAAAAGGAAAAGCTTACTTCCGGATAGCCTAAAAGAGAAAATAAATACCTTATTAAAAGTGATGGGAGAGGCTAAGAAATAAACGCAATCAGTGTTGCGTTCCAACAATTCTTCCTCTATTTTTTCTTTGTAAATAAAAAGCTGAAAGACATATCACTGCTTGGGTTAACAATTTACATAGCGGAAAATTGATGAACAAAAACCAAACGAGAGTGCATATGAGCGAAAGAGACTGAAAGGTGAATGAGTTATTAGGATTTCATTAGATTTGATCATCTGTTGGAAAATCTTTAACCACAATGATTAAATGAAGAAATTATTATATGTCATTTATACAAAATAATTCCCGCTTTGTTGGTGACTTTCAACAATGATACTTAGTTCATCTTAGTAGTATTTGTCAACTCTGCATTTCTAACCCATTTTTTTCTCACAATCATTTCATCGAACATCTATGCTTCACCTGAGATGACATGTATCTAACATTACACCTTGAATCGTTGATGGTCCCGATAGTCCCTTGGTTGGGTTTTCTCTCAATGACCCTTATTCAAGTCAACACCTCCACATAATTCAAAGTTAGATTAGAATTTTCCATGCATCCCTGACTGAAAAGTTACGCTGGAAATGAGAAGAGAGAAGCGAAAAGGAAATTTGAGATTGAAAAGGAATTTAGGGTTTATAATGAAATTGAGGAATGTGTTGCAAGTTTTAAAAGTTGGGGGACCTAAATGCAAGCGCCTGAAAAGTTCAGTGACCATATTGCAAACGTACTAACGGTAGTGTAACGTCGGGGACCATATTGCAAACGGACTAAATGTTGGGGGATTGTATTGCAAGTTTTAAAAGTTGGGGAACCTAAATGAAAGCTTTAGAAAAGTTCAATGACCATTACTATACTTTACCCTAAAAATATTAATAAAATATTTGTTTGTGCCTAGCATGATAGTTCAAAAATTAATAAAAAATATCATGTCACCACCGAGTCAGAGAAAAAACGATAGAGTAACAAAAAACAAAATTTAATGTTCAGAGTTGAATGATTAAATTAAAAAATTAAATTTCAGTACTCAAAATAGGAGTGAGAAAAAGTTGAGTGAATTTGTATAATTTACCATTGGGGGAAAGTCTTTAGCAGAGGTTAATCTAATTTAAAGGATAAGTGGACTGGCATAGGGCATGTGCACAAGAGTTTAATGCCTAGAACAAATTTGTATCAGAAGATCTACAATGTCCCATTATCTTCTCCATGCCAATTTACAATTATTGTTTTCTTAAATCAAGCATTCATTTTAGACTAATTTAATGGCCACTCACTGTCGTTTGTTTCCTTAACAGGCTTAAAGTAAAAATAATTCTATAAATTATGTCATCTTTTTTTTAATCCTCTAAACTATTTTTTAGTTAAACTAAGTACTTATATTATTATATTTAATCATTTTAAGTCCTATCATTTTTTCACTTAGAGAAATGTTTTTCGCCTATAAGATGATGACACGTCACACAAAATTAGGTACTTGTTTTGACAAAAAAATAATTTAGGGGCTTGAAGCAAAAATGAGAGATGGTTTAGGGACTTATTTTGACTAAAAAATAGTTTAGGTACATAAAGTGGTTACATATAATAGTTTAAGGACTTATTTTGACCGAAAAATAGTTTAGGAGCTTAAAGCAGAAAAATGAATATAGTTTAGGGACCTTTTTTTAGTTTAAGCCTTCTTAATATTAATGTCTCGCAGCTTGTGGTTTGATTTCAGTGGCAACCATGAGGATCCAACCGCTCAGTTGAACGTACTAGGATTGATTTTCTACCTTGAAAAAATGGGAACATAATTTCCAACAAGACCTTGTTCTTCTTTCAGTGAGAGGCATTTCAGAATTTGAGTACCGCCTGGTCAATGAGACTTCATGGAGGACTGATTTTGCACCCATGTGAATATCAACTGTGGTGAAACAGAGGAAAGTGAAAATTTCTGGTGTGCACTCATCAAATTCTATGCATCAATTCAACAGTCAATCTACCAATAGCTATATTTAAGTTACTCTTGATACCTTCGTACCAGTCGCTATAAATACATTCAAGGACTGATAAAGGAGCTAAAGCTGTCTATAATCTATATGCAATCTCTTTTCATCTTATGACAAAACTTCTCATAAAGAAACATCGGTCAGCTATCGTTCTCTCGTTAGATGTGATTCTCCGCCCAAATAGGAAAAATGAACCACTAACGATTGATAGGACAAGAATCAAAAGTTAACGTCTAACCCAAGTTCAATAATGACCGATAACCTGCATCCCTTTCCACAATAATGTCTCAATTACTACCCATAATGATTCTTCAACAAACAACTCAGCAAAGGAACATGCATATCCCTTTTCACATTTGGTTTCAAACATAAATTTTCAATCATCTTCCTCAATTAAGCTTGTAATGAAAAGGGTATCTTTCATTGTGTATATAGATAGCCAGCTTGTTGTTACATCCTTTTGGAAGTGATACATTTTGCCCTATTTATGGCCCAACTATCACTTCAAGTTCCAAATATGAACATCTGAAAGCCATGCAGGAAAAAAAACACACACACGCACACGCACACGCACAAAGATTTTAAATGAGTAAAATCACATTCACTTTTTATTGAAAGGACAGCACCATCGATGTACAAGTTGCTGTATTATCACATTTTATATACATGAATTGATGATAATCGGTTCCCTTACCAGCACTGTTCACTAATCGCTCTCTCTCACTCAGAGCCAACTGGCAAACTTGATTGATTCACAGCCATAGGTGGAAGAAAGGACAAAAGTAGTCTAGGATTTGAGTCTGATTCTTTTGGTCTTATCCCACCATATAGTCCCGCCTTTCTCTTCTGTCTATATACATATCAGCTTCTTTCATTTCCCCATTGAAGGAAAAAAATAGTGTTTACAATGAATTTATCACCTTCTCGATGTGGGAGTGGTTGTGAATCTGGTTGGACTTTCTACTTAGACCGATCATCTTGTTCTCGATCTTGGAGTACATTCGAGGTTGAATATGAAGAGGAAGGCTTATCCATGGTGTCCGATGCATCTTCTGGTCCAAGGCATTATTACTGCCAAGATTATGCAGAATGTGTCGATGAAAACGGGAAAAACAGCAGAAACAAAAGGAAGATCAAAGAGAATTGTGGTAATGAACAACACTCTTGTCTTGATGACACTGCAAGCTCTCCTGTAATAGGCTTTTCCGAGGCAAGTTCCATAATATTATGCATACGCGTACACGTTGATATGCCTGTTGGCTTCATTTCTCTTCCCTTTTCGATGTATTTGCAGAAGAATTTCAAGAAAGAAGGCTCGGTAGAGTTGTCGGGCTTTTCACAAGGCTTTTCGGGTACACATTTTAAGGGTAAATCAGCATTCCAGAAAAAACTTGGTTTCCTGAAATCTGGAAAAACAAGTTCAAAACATGCATATTCACAAGGTTAGTGTTTTGCTTTCAACTTTCTCATAGACATTCATAATCTTCAGTGGCCTGAAAAAAAAGAGAATTTGATGGTTTCCAGGAAAGGAGCAGGGAGTGACAAAAGGGTAAACTGTAACAGCTTTGTCTCAAATACAACAGCTGTTCTGGAAAGTGAAATAGGAGGAATGTTGTAAAAAATCAACAACAAAATGGCCTTGGATCTCAAGGGATTTTTTTAATTGTTTTATTTTTAATTTGATCCTGTCAATGCAGTGGGAAACAACAACCTGGGAACATCAATAAAATAAATTCAATCTCTTTCTGTGAATAGGTTTTTTTTATCCAGTTTATTTCTTAACCAAGTGAATCTGGTTTTTATTAGCATGGAATCTATGTTCTTCAGGCTTATCCACTATAAAGTAACTGATTTAAAACTAGTAATGCGCTAGAGAGGATGTTGTTTGTTTTTACCACTTGAAAATCTTCAATGGTGAGCCCACAAATAAATTTTCTGTTCAAATTTGGAAGCTGGTCAGAAAGATTAGTCCCCATCTTCTGGCCGAAATATTACCAGGGGTTATATAGGTTGAATCATTGAACAAATTAACCTTGGTGTCTTCAAATTTAACCACATAAAATAGATGTGGTCCTTGGATGGACAGGGTGTCTCTGTATTTTGCCATTAATCGACCCAGTACCTTTTCTTCTAGCCCATTTCTGCACACACAGCCAACACAGAAAATTTAAGAGCCATTATAATTATATGAATCTGTACTCTCTATTGTCATTCTACTCAAGTTGCCAATCTTGATAGGAATTTTGAAGAAAAAAATAATAAAACTAAATCAACGTAAAATAAGGCATGTGAAATAGATAAGATTTAGTGTGGTTGAGTTTTTTCTTTTAACTTAATCGATGATAAAAATAATAATTCACTATAAAGGTAAAAATCAAAAAGAGTACAAATAATAATTCACTATAAAGAGTTTAATCTTATCTATTAGACAGTCAAATTATCGTTTTAATACCACTTATCATGGAATCATTACTTTCTTCTCAAAAGAAATGTCTAATATGATTTACAGTGCTATTACTTTTAAATTTCATGACATCAGGGCCAAAGTTAGGATCAAACATTCCTTAGGATTAAATTGTTTTGTATCAAACGAACAAGCTTCTATTCAGTATTTAAATATAAAAATTAGTAAAAAATAAAAATATTTATTTAACAAATATTTAAACTAAAAAAAACCTAAAATGTTAGTATACCAAAAAATTTGAGAAGGATAATAACCCTTCTCAACGGGGTTTTTTTTTTTTTAATGAAATTAAAGTCTCCATCGTTGAAGACGTGACACTAACATAAAAGTTAAGCAGGGTTAGTAGAATTGGGGACATGCTTATCCAAATCCACATTCATTTTCTGGGTGAAAGGAAGTAATAAGGCGAAGCTTCATTTTCCAGAAGAAAGGGTCCAAAAAGAGTAACATATCCATCACAATCTCATATAGCTAGACACCAAAATTGTGATTCATACACAAATGGTGGGGGCAATTATTGAGCTTTGTTTTGGGTGATCAGTTTCCCCTTTAAGATTCTTAAGTGAAGGTGCTCTTGCCATCCCGAGAACTATCTAGGACAAGGACTTAGATTACGAGTTGGATAATGCTCGATTCATGTTCATTAAAAAAATTATTGCTCATAAACTCGTTAAAATTTTGCTTAACTCGTTCTCGTTAAGAAAATTTGTTGTTTGACCCGTTGTTCGTTAAACTCGTTAAAATTTTGTTTGACTCATGCTCGTTAAGAAAATTTTGATCCTCGACTCGTTGCTCATTAAACTTATCAAGCTCATTGCTCGTTAAGCTCATCAAAGTTTTTATTTTTTATTTTTTAACTATAAGTAAAATCTACTAATACTATATAGAAGTTAATATAAACATAAATTAATAAATTTAACAAAAAAAATTCTCAAGAGAGTGTATCAAACAAATTCAAAGTTTATACACCAAAATAACAATCCATAAATACATTAAAATAAAAATTAGGGTGATTTTTGGGTGTAGTAAAATAATAATTATTAATTATTAATTTAATATTTTTAATTATTTATTAGAAAATTAATAGATTAGTATTTTATTATTTTTTATTATCTATTAGTAAATTAATAATTTTGTGAATGAAATAATTTTTTAAGATAACTACTAAAAAGTTATAAAAAAATTAACGAGTTGCTCGCAAACTTATTAAGTCGAGTTGGACTTTGTTCGACTCATCTCGTTAAGGTCTCGAGTCGAGCTAACCCGAGTCGAGCTTTTGCTGAATTTTGACCGAGTCAAATTCGAATTGCTTACGAGCTACTCAACTCATTAAGCACCCTTAACTTGGACCATAGGAAAAAGACAATACTTGCTTCCCCCTCTCAATTCTTCTTCTCTCAATTTCTTAAAGTTGTATTTATTTAGAATTTTTTTAACTACTGTCACTGCACATACTTTAAAAATATAATTTTCAAATCCAAATCTTAAAAGATAATAATACTTACATCTTTTTTTGCCCTTCTAGTTCCTAAAGCTTACATTAATTAATCGGGATTGACCCGGGTAGCACACCTAGTTATGGTGGTTGAGCCTCTTAATAATTTTTTTTTTACATATTCAAATATTCGAACTCGAGATCTACTTAAGTGATATTAAGCTACTTACCACTTCAACCAACCTATTAATAATAATACTCATTTTAACCACTAAAATTAGTTAATTCTTTTTGTCTCAATAGCTTTGATAAAATAGTATCCTACATATATATTCACTACTCAACGAAACATAACTGCATATTACTAACATTGGCAATGGAAATAAAGTTAAATATTAAAAAACAAATTATTTATTATTTATGGTAACGACAGATTTCTGAAGAAAATATCTATGAAATCCTATATGTTGAAGTCGCTGGCTTTCGGTACAGCGTGGGAATACGTCACTGAAATTAATTTCATGCAGACGGATGATATGTTTGAAATGTCACTCTAGTTAAATAAATATTTTTTTACACACGTACGAATTTTAGATTGATTTACGACGTAGACGTGAAGATCAATTCTTTTAAATACATTAAAAATAATATAAATATTTTATTATTATTTTTTGTAATTAATTGGATGTTAATCTTAATTTGACCTGTTAATTAATCTACAAGTACAAAGCTTTGAGTCTGGCATGCTACTGCTTCTGTTACCTAGATCTAATATGATCTAATATTTTATTCTTTATGAATTTTCAGTATATTTTTCTAATTTTATGATATATTTTATTTATAATAGATTATGATTCTTTTCATAAATATCTATTTTTCATAAATATACGTTGCGAACTCTTAATAATCTAAATCTTGGTACGAATTCTAGAGATGAATAAAAAGAAGACAAGATTCTATTCTCAACATAATTTCGACAATGTTCAACTCAATGAAAAACAATAAGTTCTTCCCCTTGACACGAAATTTTAGAAGTGTAGAGAATGAAAAAAAAAATTCATGTAGCAATATTCTCCACCTCTTCTATAAAACCTTCAAAGATATTAATAAACAATGAGTGTCAATCAAGTTCAAGCCATGCTCAAGTTTCAATGTACAAATATAATTTAGTTTTTACACTTGTAAAATCATTGCATGTGTCAAGCATTGACAGCCCACCTATTTTAATATTTTTATATTAGTATCACAATAATTACAAGAGTAAACTATACTAGTTACCATTTAATTATGATCTCTTTTTATTTTGATTATTATTTTTGAAATTTTTATCAATCGTGTCATTTAATTATTTAACTATTTAAATAATTACAAATTCATTTATTTGTTTCAAATGGTTCTCGTCTTTGGAAAGGATTAAAATGTATTTGGAGAGAATTTTATGATAATATATCATGGAATATTCGGGATAGACGAAACACTGATTTCTGGTATGATCACTGGCTTGATAGTGAAGACCGACTCATTTTTTCCCATGCAGGATCAAGCCAGCCGAGGCTTATGCCAGTTTGCTCGAGGGTTCTCCTCTCCGGATCGTGGAATTGATAACGATTTACGCCTCTTCTCCCAGAAAGTATCCTGTACCGTATAGCTGCAGTTCAACCCCTTAGGACTGTTTCGAAGCTGATACTCCTGGTTGGCCGTGGGAGAGAGATAGGAAATTCTCTTTAAAATCGGGTTATAATTCCATCACCCATCATGGGAATGAAATCAATAGGCTGTGGAATCAGGTTTAGAAATTGGCCGCCCCACAGAGAATTCGGGTTTTTTATGGCTTGTATTACATAATCGCCTCTTGATTAATGTTGAGAGGATGCGAAGACATTTATCTCTATATGATACATGCCAAATTTGCAATCGAGACAAAGAAGATATTGATCATGTTTTGCTAAAATGTCACTTGTCAGCTCAGGTTTGGACATAAATGGTGAAACCGGATAAACTGGATGAATTTCTTAATTTACCGGTGCAATTGGCTGACAATTAATTTGGTTAATGGAGGGAATTTTGCAGTGAGTAATGAAAACTGGGCGATTAAATTTGCTATTTATTGCTGGCTGTGGAAACATAGATGCAGTGTGATCTTTAACCCTCACTATGAGCAACGGGAAAGCTTCAACATTATTTGTAACCAGGCAGTACAAGAAGCATAGTATCAAATTGCAGTTGCATATATTGTTGTGGATGCTGTTACGGTATCACGGTTACAGATGTTGTGGACGCTATGTAACATGTTGCAGCTGTTGCAGGTGTGATCACTTCCTCAAAAATCACAATACGTCTAAAATATTATATTTATACATTTTAAGTTGTCTTTTAGTATACTAATATTAATATACTCTTTTAATATTTTATTTTTAAAATAAAATTTTATTTCATAGATAAAAATTTATTAAAAACAAATATAAACCATAAAAGTGCTATCATACTGGATAATGGGTAATAACAATTATAATGTTAATGAATAACATATAAACAATATCACTAAAATCATATCAAATTTTCTATATTATAACATAAAAATGTTCATTTTACATAAGTTAGAAAAAAATACATAACTACAAATATAAAAATTATATATCTTTCAGTTCACCACCAAAATGAATGACGTGACGTTGTCCTGTTTTTGATTCATTCCTATTCCATGTGAAGAAGACATCTCATTATGTGCATCATAAGATACATTATTGGTAGGAAACATGTTGTATGATAAATGATGACAAAAAATCCATAACTTGGATTTTGTTCAAAGTAACGTAGATAACATG